GGGCGCCCCCCCCCCCCCCCCCCCCCCCAAAAAAAATAAAGCTGCAGGTAGGAGTAAAGTTGAGAGAGGTAGATTGCACAATAGCCATCCCCACCATCTCCTCTGGAGGACCTTGATTCTACTCACGGACCGATGCACCACGTGTGAGTCATCGCTTACGAAATCCCGCCCCCTTGTCCTGTCCAGCAGCAGCCAGACTCTGTCCCTCTCCGCGTCCTCCGAGTTCTCATCTCCAGGCTCCATCCGTGCGCCGCATCCTCCCGTGGGGCTCCAGACACGGAATCCCGGCTCAAGGCATCTCCCTCTCATCGTCCCCCGCGCCGAAATCATTATACTCGCTGTCATCCTTTTACTTTTTCGCTATACTGTTCTGAAGAAGTGGGAAACGCGAGTCTAACTGAGACTCAGGAAGATTATGAGCAGCTCGAGCCGTGTCTGTTTCCATGGAAAAGCTCCTGTACCGTTTTCACTCCCGAGATTCACTAGAGGTCAAGATCGCGGATGAAAGAACGATGGGTTGCGGTTTGACGGAGGCACCATCTGTCCACTGTTCTTGTAAGGCTTGCGCTGCGCGGTTTGTGAAGACTCGCAACAGATGTCACTAACGGTTGAGCATGACGCAATAATGTTCGTGTCTCCTCATCCCGAGGCGAATAGAAAGTTAGAGACCCATCATTAGCGACCTTGCCCCCTGCTGATGGCCCGGCTTGAAAGTAAAGCGAGGAAAGAGAGGGCACAAAAGCACTTAGCCTGCTTCCGGAAGGTCATTGCGTGAGTCACACAGTTCGTTAGTCGTCATGCAGGTCACGTCTTATAAGAAGGTTGAGCATAAGAACATACGGTACGTGAGCGCAATGGTCGAAAATATTTTAATGGGACATGGAACCAACGAATGAAGCGCGCATCTGGGCGACGTCGTTGCTACTGACAAGATTCGAGGTTGCAGTTGTGGGTAGTAGATGTCACTGACGGTAGTGAGCCCACGTGTTACGTAGGACTCAGTGTCGGTTTTTGAAGCGTGTCCGCAAGGGTTAGGCGTTGATGCAGCAGATCAGCTTTGTGCTTAGTTGCATTTTTGTTGACTTGTTCCCTGGAAAATATTCAAAATAAAGATTTAATATTTTGAAAATTCCTTGATGGGTTCATTTATTGGAGTAAAGTTGAATATCATAATTTTCAAAAGAGAGACTCCCTTAAGCTTCGATTCTTCTTTCTTCCCTCAAAGATGGTTTTGAAGTCTCTTTTTCCATGTGCATTTACAGTGATTACTATTTTTGAATTTCAATACTCCGATTTTCGTGTCTTTCAGAAGTGTAACTGTCCCAATAATCCGCACCCTGAAAATTTATAAGCCAAAAGTGTAAGAAGTTCGGCGATTTCTGGTTTCTTTTGTGGTTGGAAGTTCTATGAAGAAAGGCTGGAAGCTTGAGCACACACACGTTTTTTGTAATACTTTTATTCCTACAGCATATTTAGCAAAGTTGCAAATCAATCAACCTTCATGTTATTCATCTGGACATATTCTGGGGTGCATTTTCTCACTAAGAAAACTGAGTTGCTGCTTGTGAAGGGAAAGAGTTCTTATTCGAAAAGACTGCAATGATTCTCAGAGTAGGTGTGCTAGTTAGGCTTGAGAGCAATAGTTAACTACTATATATACTGTGTTCAATGTAAGTGAAAAGTACATTAGGATTCAAGACATGAAAGGTTGCGCATGTCCACGAAGGACACTTTTGAACACCGAATAAAGCACGGGATTGCGGCCGGATATCATCGCGCGAATGGCTCCAGCGTTACTAGTCGCATGCAACTTGCCGGATTGCGAAGTTGTGCAAGAACTCTGCGTTCCTGAAGTTGAAACAAATACTTTTCAATTACAACACGAAAGACGACTATAACTGTGATATCACAGTTCATTCCGTGTATCCGCAAAACCTGACGCATTCCCTGTGTATGTGATGCTCGCGAACTTGAGTCCGGATCGCCCCGAAATCCATTCCGTGAACATGACAAGCTCTGCCCAGTCAGGCTCTGTCCTGGACGTTTTGAAAAAGAAAATGCGACAGAGTCGCGACGAGATGGAGAAGTACCAAGAGGAATCCGAAGAGAACTTCCGTCAATGGAATCTGGAGAAGAAACGGCGAGAAGATGTAAGTTCTCGTCTGTGTGTGAGGAATCATCGAACCGACGCATGGCGTCATTCGTGGTTTCTTCTTACTTTCATTTGAAAACAGTCGTGCTTCCATGTTTTGCAAACCGGATGAGGCAGATTCGCGTAGCAACAGAGATTCAGTTCCCTGATGTTCCTCCGCTGACCCATTTGGTACGGTTGATGATGAAATGGGCGTGTTCCCGAGTTACATCATGAGCTTCTGTTGTTGAATGCTCATCCGGAGTGATACTAGGTCACGCCCATGAACTGTGGTCCTTCCATAAATCTCTGGGATTCCTCCTTTTATGAAATAAATCGTGCTCTTATGAGTGATCCCTGGATTCCTCTCAGTGCAGAGATCTCTTCCGTGAAATGATCGAAGTGTCACCATTTCGGAAAGGAATCATCAGGAAAAATATCTCCGATCATGTCTTCTGTAGACAAAGAAAACTTGGTGTTGTTTCCACGCTCCCGTTTTGGTCCATGAAACACGAATGCCGGTTACGTGAAAAAAGCTTTTTTCGTCCTAATTCCGTATTTATTTTACGAGTTAATGGGACGGAAATCACGGTTCGTCCGCCCAAAAGCTCTCATTAAGCAGTTTTATTCCTTCATGCTTTTCATTTCGTTTTTATCGTCATCGTGGAATAAATGAATACTCGTTTTGTTTTTCGTATTCAATTCCCGCAGCGATTTTTCCGACAAAGACTTAAGGTGGATTTGATGCGAGGACCTTTTTGACACGGTTTTTCGTTTTGAAATTTGAATTTCTTAGGCTGAGGCTGAAGTCGCAGCGTTGAACAGGAGGATCCAACTGCTTGAGGAAGACTTGGAGCGATCTGAAGAGCGTCTCAACACTGCCACCACCAAGTTGGCCGAAGCTTCTCAAGCCGCTGATGAATCCGAACGGTTCGTTTCCACTTCTTGTTTCAATTTTATAAATCAAAGTTTTTCGTTGGTGTGTGATTCGAAATTTCTTTCTACATGCTGCTGTTCTCTGTGTGGGGAAATTGGGAAACATTTTGTGGGTTTCGGGTGGGATGATAGGATACGTAAGGCCCTGGAAAATCGCACCAACATGGAAGACGACCGCCTTTCTATTGTGGAATCGCAGCTCGCACAAGCCAAAATGATCGCCGAAGAAGCTGACAAGAAATACGAAGAGGTGAGGTAGTCTTGGAAAATGTTCGAAGACACGGGACTCTATGGAATGGCGGTGCTGGCTTTTTCCTGGTGCGATTTTTCCTTGGGGGGGACAAAGTGGTTATTTTCTTCTCGGTTGTGGTTTATTTTCTACTCTGTCTATCTTTTGTGAAACATGGAACTCATGAGGTGTTTCGGGTTGGCTTTTGTTGCTTCTTCTTCTTTTTTTGGGGTTATGTTGGGGATGATGACGCAGTATGAGGAAGGTGTTGGAGAACCGGTCACTATCTGATGAAGAGCGAATGGACGCACTTGAGAACCAGTTGAAGGAAGCTAGATTCTTGGCCGAGGAGGCTGACAGGAAATACGATGAGGTACATCTATTTCTTGGCCCCTCACCGGATGATTGTGTGCTTTCAAGCAACAAAATAAATAAGTGCCTAACAGAAATTCAGTAGCTTATTGTGCTGAAATTTTATTTTTTGGTTTCAGTGTCTGAGTTGCATGTGTGTGCAGTGAAATCTCGTTACAACGAACTCCCAGGAAATTGAGAAAAAATAATTGTTATGTTTAGTTTATTTGTTCTTCGAGACTGTTGGACTGACATTTTTTGGGAAATGGATGGAAAATGCTTTGAAGTACTTTCACATCAGATATGTGAAAAATTGCTTAAATTTCCAACTTCTTTTGATGAAATTAACTTTTCCTAATTAAGACCTTCCCCTTTTTTCAATCCGCCATTTCTAAATTCTAAAATGCAGATGAATAAATGTTGATTTGAACTTCATGCTGCCTGCAATGCTAAGTTTTCTGTACAAAAAGATTAGCTCTTGTAATTATGAAGGGTTTTCATTGATGCACAAGTTTGGTTTTCCCATATTTTTGCAAATTTGTGAAAAATTGCTTTGGTCCATGTGTGCATAATCAAGGCAGAAATTCCTTATTCTTATTCTTTGGGGGAAATTAGTTCAATGCAAAAAATTTTTGTGACATAGTCCCCATGGAGAAACTGGTGGTACAGAAAAAAACAGAATCCGTTGTAATGGAATTTCACTGTATGTATTTATGTTTGGTGATGGGAGCTTACATTGTTGCCACTCAGGTCGCCAGGAAACTGGCCATGGTTGAAGCTGATCTTGAAAGAGCTGAAGAGCGTGCGGAAACTGGTGAATCGTAAGTTTCCTGCTTGCTTTTGCTTATTTCTTGCATGATGAAGCATGAACTGCTGTCTAACATACTCTTCTTTATATGAGAAAAGAAAACTTGTCTATTGAATGTCCATGTGTATATGTGTGTGCATGTAAAAAGTATGTTATTGAGAGACCCTGAGTTTTTTGGGATGTCTGATCAAGTTGCTGAGCATTTCAAGTGTGTGTTGAAATTTTAATGTAATTTGTATTCCAACAAAGCTTTTTTCATGCAGAAAAAATGAGAATCATTTTATCCAAACTGAACATGTGTTCTAAAATTGTTGAAAGAAATATACAAGAGCAACTTCAAATTCATCTTGTGCAGAGATGAACAACTCACTTTTACTTGAAGATGTTGTTCTTATTGGGAAATCCTTGAAAGTGAATTTTGAGGTTTTTTTAAAAACTCTGTACGTTGAATTTTAGATTTCTTCATGGTGAAACATGTACAGTATTATCAGTCTAAGGATGCATTCTGAGTAGTGAAATCTTGTTACAACATTGAATTTGTGACCAAAAAGATGCATCATGAAAATACATTTGTTATAAAGCTGTTCAAATAAAATTGTTGCTATTGGACAAATACCTAAATAGATAAATATGTTTTAACCATTTTTTTTGTATTGAGATATGTAATGAGATTTTACTGCATGAGGGCGACATCTACTTCCATTGAACCGCAAAGTTACTTCACTGGACATACTGTGAAGCTTTTTTCGCTGTAAGAAATGCTCAGAAATCTTTGAAAAGACACCCTGAATATTTGATACTGCGAATTATCCACCATTTTTTGCTAACCGCATCATTTTTTGCCATTTTTTTTCATATTGCGTTTGCCAAAAAAACGTTGTGTGAACCTGCCTGCTGCGTCCCCGTCTTGGAACCCCGAAACAAATGTTGTGTCCCAACCCTGTTGTGTGATGATGTCCAGGTTGCTCGGAAATTGGTCATTTTGGAGACTGATTTGGATCGTGCTGAAGAACGTGCGCAACAAGGGGAAGCGTGAGTGTTGATTCTCATCAACTGGAATCAGGAGACATTTTTACAAAAAAAAAACAGTGTCATTATTCCCTGGCGATATTGCTGCACTGTGAAATCTTGTTGCAAGAAGGAATTTTGTTATACTGGATGATTTGTTGTGTTGAGATTTTCTAAATTAATGACAGGAAAACATTTTCATTTAAGACCTGTCTTAATAAATTGGATATTTTTTTCATTGCATTTTTAGATTTGAAAAACTGAGTGATCTTTTGAAAAAAGAAAATGTATTCAATGATGCATTTCATCAGCTGCACGAACCATTTGGAAGCATTTCAGTCATTTATTGCTTCTTCCATCCATGCTACGAAGAACTACTCAGTCACATTTAAGATCAGAAATTTCAGATTGTGCCTAGCTTATTCAAGAAATTTTTTAATTTAAATTTTATTGAACATTCCTCGGAAAAGTTGGTTATAACTGGAATTGGGAAGTTTGAGGTAGCTTTAAAATCTACTCCATGAGGTTTCTGCTGGGATCTGAAGAAATGTTCGTTTTACTGAAAGATTTGTTGTAACAAGATTTTACTGTAATTGATATCACCATTGTTTAGAAGTTAGATCTCACTTGAAAATCTCCAGGGGATGCATTTTATGGGTCAGTTTGAATTCAGGCGACACCTGTCGGATTTCTTTTGTGTTTGAACTCTTGCTGGACAAGGTTTTTTCCATAAGCATGTGAAGAGAATGATTGCGGTGCTGATTTTGTTGACTGACGTATTTTCTGCAGCCTGTTTTTTGGCAGGAAAGATGATTCAAATGTTTAAACTTCATTTTTTTTTCCGACAGGAAAATCGTGGAGCTCGAGGAAGAGTTGAGAGTCGTCGGTAACAACTTGAAGTCTCTGGAAGTGTCTGAGGAAAAGGTAAAACCTGCCCGAGGATTCAAAACGAGTTTAAATCATGAAAATTTAAGATTAAAACTTTTCTCCGGTGCCCCGTTTTTTTTTCATTGTATCATTTTCATTTTGCGTTCATCGTAAAAGGTGTTACACTTGAGAGAGTGAGAGATTTCAGGTGTCTTATTCCTTCCCCCCCGTTTTAAAATTCTGTGAAAAATTGGTGAAAATAACAGGCGAACCAACGTGAAGAGACCTACAAAGAGCAGATCAAGACCTCGACCACGAGGCTCAAGCAGGTAATGTTTGAAGCAGTCGAGATCATCTCTGCATAATTTTGGGAGAAAGAGACTAATTGGCGTGATTATTGAATATTTATTTTTGCACTAATGCATCTGGTTTATTTCTTCCCCCATTATATCCCCATATTTCAAGCACACTTTTTATTTTGGTCGAGATCCGCTTATGGGCATGCGGAAAAGTTATTTTCTACACATCCACGATGGTTTTTGATTTTTGTATTTTTTGCTAACATGTGCCTGTGTGTGTGTGTGTGTTGGTTTTTGATTTTTGTTTCTCCCTCCCCACGAAAATTTTTTTTTGTTTTGGGAAATAACGAGAGTAGGCGACACAACGAGAGGAAGAGTACGAAAGACAGATCAGGACTCTGACTTCTCGTCTCAAGGAGGTAAGCGGTTTTTTTTTTGCGGAATTATTGCCGGATTTGAAAGCATCAATGGGTTCAATGGAGGAATTATTTAGTAATTTATTGATTTTTTTGTGTATGTCTTGGAAGGTTCTTCTTATTGGTATCAAATGTGTGTAGGAACAATTTATTTCTGATATTTCCTTGAGGGAGAGAAACTGTGGATGCAGTTCCATGCTGATTTAAAATCTGGGATCTAGTGGAATGTCCAATTTGTGATGGCTTGCAACATGTTGGGATAGGTGTCACTGCTTTCCAATGCTGATGAAAAGCTAGGTTTCTGCAGATGGAATAAATGAACCCAACAAAACTCATGTTAGAAATGGTTTCTATGCTTTTTATTCAGATTAATCACTTGTATTTAACATATACATTTCTTTTTGAAAATATCAGTTTTTTAAAATGCTGAGAAATATCTTCAAAAGCCACAAACGGAACAAGTTGAAAGTATGCACGTTTAATTTTTATAAAATCTTTCCATAAGTAAAAAATTTTAAAAATCTTGGTATAATGATTAATCTGCTAAGCAAAACTTTTTCTGAAGTCCCCATGAGTTTGTTGTAACAAGATTTCAGATTAATAGCAAATGCTTTAGTTTCATTTTCATCAATGATTAATTTCTTTGAATAACAAAAATATTTGTTCAAACTTCAAAGATAGATTTGAGGTTAGAAAAGCGCTTTTTGTATGTATCAACAAAACCTTTGATGTTGATATTGCAGTGACACCTGGTGTTGCCAGGCATCAACATCCAGACAGTGTGGAACTGGTTCCAAAGCCTCATCAAAGGAATAGTCTTTGAATATTGATTCAAGAGTCTTTAGAAGGGTTCTTTGTATTTATTATGTTATAGAGGGTTTGAGGTTACATTGGGAAAACAGCGTCTTATTTCCTGCTGACTTGAGAAAAAGAAACCTCTGATGGTTTGAAAGAATTTCTATCATCCCCATATTTTTGGACTGTGCATGTAGGTTTTTCTTGACAACACTTATTTTTTTTTTGAGTTGGATTGAAAGGTTTGCTGTATATAGAAACACCCCCCCCCTCAAACAATTTTTTGTGATTACATTTGAACATTGATTTTGACATGTGGAAATCGCACTTTGTTTTGAAGGATTCAGGGATATTTTTTTGTGCATTGCATGGGAAGCATGGGGGTTTTTATTCAAATTTTTTTCCATGAATTTTTGTTTATGCATACAGTACGGCTTTGTTTTCAACATTTGTATTTTGTTTGATGCGCAAATCTCAGGCTGAAGCTCGTGCTGAATTCGCTGAAAGGTCGGTGCAGAAACTGCAGAAGGAAGTCGACAGGCTCGAGGGTGAGTGTTGATTGATTGAATGCTGTTTTAATTTTTTCCATCAGTTGTGTGACCCTAGTTTTCGTTGATTGATTGATTGATCGTTCTGTGTTTTTATGCCTGTGCGTGTTTGTTGATGTTGATGTGCAGATGACCTGCTCGTGCAGAGGGAGAAAAATAAGCAGTTGAACGAGGAAATGGAGGCCACTTTGCAGGATATCCAGAACATGTAAAATTCGCAAACTTTGGTCAAATTTTTTTTTATTCATTTCAAGCTTTGAAAAGCAGGAGATTGGGGATTAGTTGCTTTTGCACGGCGCTTGAGGAGAAAAGCTGACGAGTTTTTGGGGTTCTCTGGGTTATTCTGGGGTTCTTCTTTTTATTTTGTGAGAGGTTTCAAATCAGGTGTTAAGTGAATTGGTTCATTGTTTTCAAAGTATTTGGTGATGGTTTCTTGAAACGCACTTTATTCATATTTTTCCATTGGACACCATTTTCTTTTTCTATGTGAAAATTAATTGTGCCTGTGAATTTGTTTTTTTTAGAAGCTTGACAAGAGTATTTTGCTGTATATTATGTGCTTGGTGGTCATCTTGTGGAGTGGGTATTTTTCAGATGCATGTGATGAAATGAAATTTCGTCCACTGGAATGGAAAGTTTTTCAAGTTGGGGTAGATGTCGCTAGCTGTCTTATGTCACACTGACTTCATGCCAAGTCTGCTTTTTTCAGTCATGACCTTTTCTTTTTTGGAAATACGGAGGATGAACTGGGCTTTGGTTGGAATTTTTAAAATTTGGAGAAAGTCTGTTTTCATCTTTTGAAATGATTTATTCAATGTGATTTTCAAATGCAATTGTAGGTCTGTTAATTAAAATTTTCAAATTGGGAAGGTCTTTGTTGAGAATAAATTGTCTTTTATTTTGTGAATCAGAAAGAGAACATTTATAATCTCGCTATTTTGTTCACAACAAAGTATTTTCAAGGTGCCAAATGCTTAATTGGGACAAAATTCTTGTGTAATCAGTTGCATGTGATTTTTATGCACTTCTGGTCTTGTACATAACTTGATCTTGTTTCTTTTGAATCGAATGGACCTGATGTTTTCATGTGTGCCAATAGATGAGCTGATCCAAGAGAAGGAAAAATACAAGGGCCTCTCGGACGAGTTGGACCAGACATTCACGGAATTGTCGGGCTATTAGAAAAAACTTCTGCCGGATATTGGAGCGAAAGAAAGAAAGAAACAAAAAAGAAGAAAAAGGAACAAAAGTGGATCGGAAAAAAAGAACACATTTTTTTTTCTCTGTCCGTCGTCGCAAATGTTGTGTTTGTGCTTCGGACGTCGACACTTGCGTCTCTTTTTTTTTCTCCCTCTCCTCTCGATTTTCTTTTTTTAAAGCGCAAATTCTTTGATCAATTTTTTTTTGCGTATTTCGTGTCTCTTAGCTAAGCTGTGTAGGATATTTCTGTCCTTCTTTTAGCGCTCGTCAGCAGGTGGTCTAACAATTTCTTAAACGTTTTAAGGGAGCAAAGCAAGAAACAAATTCATTTTTTTTCGTCCCCTCCCGCTTCTTTCAGCGCATTTGTATGATTTTTTTTTTTGTGTATGCGTGAAATCTGTTTTTTTTTCTTAGATATTCTCCCGGTTTATGTTTCGAATGAGCGGCATTATTTAATAGAGAATCGGTTTTTATTTATTTAATTCCTGCCATGTCGTAATTTAAAAGTTGGGATGCGTGGATTTTCCTTTTTGACCAAAAAAAAAAAGAAGAAAGGAGGCCTTTTTGGTGCATTTGGAGAGTATTTATTCCCTGGAAAAAAATAGATGAAAATTTATAATTCTAAGTCTTCTCTTCTGCTGCGGCTTTTGATGGATTCAGCACAATTTTTTTTTTCTTTTCTGTCCTGCCATGTATGTCTTTCTTTTTCCCTGGTGGAATCAGGTGCCTGCAGAAGCTCATGTGAGTTCCTTGTAATAAAAAAAAAGAAAGTGGAGGAATAAATGGATGAAGTCATTTGGTAAAAGTGAGGGGTTTGTGCTCATTTTTTTTTGCCATTTTCTCAAAGTTTCCAGAACCATGATTAAAAAAAAGAGGTTGCCAGCAACCTGATTTTGTGGAGAATTGGGTGTGTACAAAGGAGACAAAGAAATCTGCTTTCAATGAAATTATTACACCTGAGAATAATCCAATTACAGTCAATCCTTGCTTAACCTTTTTGTTGGTGCAGAGGAAAAACATGTTACCTGAAAAAACATTAAGCCAGGTAGTCTCTCCCTTAAGATATAGGGGAGAAATGTTCAGTTGGTGTTGGGCAATATATTTAAATAAAAAAACAGGAACATTTTCAGAACTTTCAGGTGCAAAATTTTCAAAATCAGGCCCATACAAAAATTTCTTATGCAATTTAAAAATGAAACATTGTGGCTCAATTTTCAAAAAAGTTTTGTGCTTTTGATTATATCTCTGTCAATTCTTAAATATTTTTTTGTGATTTAAAAAAGGAAATGTTAAAAACTTTGATGTGCATCTAACCCTGCCTCAAGTTTGATGTTTGGTGCCGTAGAACTGTTTTTTACAAATTTTCAAACTTTGAACAGCAGGGCAAAAAAATTTATAAATTCAACTTTAACTCACAATAAATTCTTCAAAATCAGCTCCATTTCAAAATTTTTAACAGGGCTAGAAGCTCATTGAAGTTTTACAAATTTAGCAATATTTAACCTGGGAAAAATGTTGAAAAATGAATCATTTTGAAATAAAAATGCAAAAAGACTTTTTCCAGATTTTGGTTCAATTTTCAGAAACATTTTGTGTTTTTCATGATAACTCCCATCAATTCTTAATATTTTTTCAAGTTAAAAAAAGAAATTGTGGGCAACTTCATTGCACAGCTTATCTCATTTGAAAATTGAAGTTTGGTGGAGAAATACATTTTTGACAAATTTTTAAATGGAATGTTGTGTGGAATTTTGAACGTAAAGTGAACACATTTTTGGGCTTACAACTGGGAATGTTAAGTGAAAAAATGTTAACCAAACAGAACATTGTGCGAGGGTTGACTGTACTGGAGTAACCAAGTAATGATTTTCACCTGGATTTTGATCAGCCTATAACTTCCATCAAATCCAAGACCCTGAGTGAGACAAACCCCACTTCAGTGAATGAAAAACTCAACATTAATCACAGAAAGTTGACTTTTGCATCATTAAGAAAGGTTTCACATAATTTTTCTTATGAGCAAATGAAAAGTGCCCAGCATATGATGCATGGAATAAGAAACCAGTGTTGAAGTTGAACATACAAAAGTGCCTTCAAATCCAAGTTTTTTAAGTTAGAGCCATATGGGGCCATAAAATCTTGGAGTTTTCTGCCCATTTGATGGGCTATTTGTCTCGCCCTTGTGGGGTTTTGTTGCTCTGGTCCTCTCTTCATGTTTTGTGTGACAGACTTGTTACAAAGCACTATTTTTGTACACATGGAATTTGCGCGTTGGCCTGACATTCCTCTATTTCCAATTGAGGTGAGATTTTCTCACTAGCACCTTTTGTGGTGCTCCCTTCTCATGTGTTATAATGTTTCTAGCCAGCTGTAAATCTCTGCTGACCTTTAACACCTGCAACAGTGTCTCAGACAATACTTAAGATTCTATACCTGTCTCTTCTCCCACTCCCTACAAAGCCTTGATGCATGTCATGTCCAAGTACTTTCTACACACCCTATTCTGAAAGACCAATGAACTGCATCTGATTTAACTCTTGGCCCAGCAGTAGAAAGTAGGAACCAGCAGTTTTGGAAGTATATAAACCCCAGTCCCAGATGGCCAAAATCAGTTGATCACCAAATCCCCTGAAGGAGTCAGAGTCCATTCTAGAATCCCTGCCATAGGTCTTGTTTGGTTGTATTTGAGTTGTCTGACTTGAATAAAAACTTCATCAGAAAAAGTCTGTCTGTTATTTTTGAAAAGTCTTGCGTTTCCAGCAGCATGCTTCTCCGCAAATCAAGGAGTAAAAGAACTCCAAGAGTAAGACACTCTTTACGTTCTCCTTAGTTTATCTTTAGTTATTCTAAATTGAAAATAAGCTAAAATAGGATAACAAATTCTGGAGCAGTTGGTACTCCTTTTTGCACCAGGGTGGTGTTCTGTGTTTCAATTCTCTGATTGGTGATCAATGCATTGCAACCAAGACTGAGCTTGTGTTGAAAAAAGCTCCAGACAGCAGTAATCCAGTTTTGATTCTTTCTGGATTACTAGCACAAACTCTGACAAGAGCTGTGTATTCCCAAATACAAATAGGACGTAATGGAAGAAGTGTCAAAACCTGAAGTGTTTTCACTTAGCAATAGATTTGTATTTGAGTCAAAATAAAAACTTATTTATAGCCTGATCAACCAAAATAGTTTTTTCCTACCTAATGTGGGTAGAAGCAAGTTTTCTAAGAGAAAAAGAAATCCTCTTGAAAAAGGCAGAGGTTAATCTTGTTCCTGGAAAAAGATAAGGGGTTGAAAAAGGGATCCTGCCTGAGGGTAGAAGAAGTTGTTGGAAACTTTCAAAAAAAAAAAGAAGAGAAACTGCTTCTCGTCAAAGTTAGCCTTCTGGACAGAAGCACAAAAGAACTTATTCAGTTAGTTCTTTTTCCCTAGTGTTAATAGTAATCCTCTATTGAACTAGAAGATCCATTCGGGATAAAAACAAAAGAGATCCACTCAGGATTAAAAACAAGAAAAAATTGAATTTGCGTGTGAAAGTGTGAAAGAGTGAATTCAGAGCAAGTGTGGAAAATTTTGAATTGTTATATTTTTATGTCTAACAAATCCAGATCCCAGGAAAATAATTCCCAATCTGGTCCTCCTCCAACTTTAAGTGCTGAAAGATGTAACGCTCTTTTAATTGCACAACTTTTTGATAGCATTCACGGTTCTGCAGATTCTCAAACCCCCAAAACTGAAAACTCCCAGCAAATAATCAGCCGTTTTCCAGCCAGGCGTAAAGACCCAGGCAAAAATCAACCATCAAACACCTGTTTTTCTTGGGTGCATGGATACAGGTGGTTTTTTCAAAAACATGTGATTTTTCCTCAGCCATTTTCCTGCCAGGCGTATATAGACACAGGAGGAAAACACCCATCAAACACCCGTTTTTCATGGGTGTGTGGATACGGGTGGTTTTTTCAAAAACAGCTGATTTTCCCTCAGCCATTTTCCTGCCAGGCATAAAATACACAGGCGCAAAACACCCATAAATCACCTGTTTTTCATGGATTGTTGGAAACGGGTGATTTTCAGAATTGGTGAATGTGTTGCGGGAAATTTTCCAGGACTGGTGTGCCATATAGAGAACAGAGCTGCGCTGCTCTCATATACTGAGCTGCGCCATTTAGAGAACAGAGCTGCGCTGTTCTCATATACAGAGCTGCGCCAAATAGAGAACAGAGCTGCACTGTTCTCTGCATTATAGAGAAATGGCGCAGCTCTGCATGTTCTCTATATGGCGCAGCTTTGTATGAGAACAGCGCAGCTGTTCTAATACAGACAGCTCAGTTGCTGTTCTCACAGCTCAGTTGCTGTTCAGTTGCTGTTCTGTTGCAATTGGAAGAAAATCCTCCATGTCCTCCGCAAATGCTTCCACTTGCCGCATATGAGACACACCATTTGGAACCAATTAGTCAATTGTCACAAATGCTTCACATATAACAACAGCACGTGTATCACGGGCGAGACTATGAAGGGGATGCCAGCGACCACCCCACGCGACCGCCTGTGCATTGATTTCTATGGGCCACTGCCACGATTGGCCAAGGGACATTGGTATGCCTTTGTGGTGATTGACCAGTTCTCCAAGTACCTCATCGCGGTACCTATCAAACAAGCAGACACCACCTCTGCCATCAAACAGGTCACAACCGTCCTGTGAGAATTGGGAACATTCCAATGGATACATTCGGACCACGCATCTATCTTCAAATTGTGCGCATTCAAACAGTTCCTGCAACAGGCTTCATGCGACCAACATATTGCGCAAGCCAACCATCCCGAAGGCAACAGAACCTGCAAGCGCGTCATTAAAACCATCGGACAAATACAAGCCAAGACGGCAAAAGGAGCAGTGAAGGAATGGCATACTCACCTACCCGACACGGTGAAGGCGTACAATTGCATGCCACACACCACAACATCCGTATCTCTGCATGAGGCGTTTTACAGCCACCCACCAATCCTCAATGCTGACAAACAATTTGAAGTTGATACCCGCCAGGGACAACAAGCACTGACATTGCCAAACACACGTTGCGACAACATGCCAGCTCACTACATCAGGCCAACAAAAACAAGTACCCTGACTTCCAGGCAGGCAACATGGTCACAGTACGCCCATGCCTGGGTTTGACGGAGATACACGCAGCCGCGCAACGTTTCCGCAAACAACAGTTTGGACCGTTTATGATCCTTTGACGCCTGATCCAGGGACAGTACATCATCTGTGCAGGACCTGACACCTCAACGGTGCATGCCTGGGAACTCCAACCCTGGGCTCATCTACCAAGCACGCCGCAACCCTGATTCACCAAGCATATCCCAATCCACAAAGCACCACAGGCTTGTGCCTTGCCATACAACACAATGCCAGATCATGCATATGCCAAGGAACAGGCCAAGGACCTCTTTGTATGCAAGCATTTATACTGCCAAGCAGTACAAAATTGCACATGAGGGCCCTGCCAAATGACCGCTGCCATGACAACAGCCCGGAGCACTGACCTATTACATCACAGGGCAGTGACCAAGGAGCAAAAACAGGGGGGGGGAGAGTGAGAGATAACCATCTATTTTTCACAACAACAAAACACCATTAAGCCTGTAAAGGCAATTCCACTATCTCTCCCACAGCATCAGGAAGGGCAATACAAGGACAAGGACAAGTACACAACAACAGGAAGCCAACGGGACTAGCGCTGATTCATCACAACAAGGACAAATCAGTTCACCTTACACCCCCTTTCAGGTATGTGCTCCTGACCCCCTTAA